GCTCCACCCATCCCAGCATCACAAGTACTGAGTACTACTTAAACCATGAGTGCTTCTCCTTTTCCTTTTCCATAAGGACCCTGGTAAGCTCTTCCCGAGCCGCCGAGGGCTGCAAATCCTTCCGTGCCCTCACCTCATCCATCACCTCCTCACTCACAACAGGAATCAGGTCATCTGGGGGCAACCCCACCAGGTCATTCAAGACAAACTTAGGGTTCAGCTCGGCAGCTGTGTGCCCACCCTTGCTGTTACCAGTCACAACCCTGCGTGACTTCCCACCCTTCCCACTGGCACTGGGTGCCTGTGCCCCCTTGCCCTTTGGGGGCACACAGACAATGCAAACCCGCTGCAGCACTGTCTCCAGCGGTATGCAGCCGAATGATGCGGCTGGCTGGCCACTCCGCCTGTCAAGGGTCACGAGTGGGTGCAAATGTGGGATTAGTGTTTGTGGGGCTGTCAGTGTCCCCAGGGCAGGGTTAGACCTGATCTGCCCATGCGATGGCCCTTCAAGTCAAGAACCTCCTGCTTCTGCAAGATGTAGACAGCAACAGAATGACAAATACTACAACATGTGCTTATACTTTGGCCCAAATAGACTCTGAGGTCACTCACCAGGCAGTTGCTCTCGTATTCGTCATCGTGTGCAGCCCCCCTGGCCGTGACAATGTTGAGCTTGCTGGTAACCTGCAGGAGAGTACAGAAGCAAGTGACAAGCAGTGAAGCGTAGCAACTGGGGGGGGGGTGTAGCCTGCTGACTAACCTGCTGCTGTATGGTCTCCATTTTCTTGTTGGTGAATTGGTAGCTGGCCCACAGGGTTTTGACATAGCTTTCTTTTGGGCCGGTTGTGGTCAGGTCGGTCATGCCATACTGTCTAATGTCCCTTGCTTGCGTCCTTGAAGGGTGCCAGGGCCACATCAAGTGCGGCCTGGAGGACCTTGCGCTTCAGGGACCGGAAGGACAGGCTATCCTTGCCCTCACCTGCATGTGAGTGGTACACAGAGGTGGTAGTCCCACAAAGAATTGTAGATACCCTTCAAAGTATCTGCAGATGGGGTGTAGGCCTCGCCTGGAAACTGCTTGAACAGGCGCAAAAACTCCTGGAGCTTGCAACCTGCAGGCATCACATTTCAACTTGCAGTAAGCATTGTGGCTTGCTATCAACTAGGCACCAAAAACAGCATGCTTAGAAACAGTGAGTAATGCTGGTAAACACTGGTAACACTGGCCAATGCTGGTAAAAACGCACCCGAGAGGTTCGCCGCGAGGAAGGTCTCCACCTCTGAAGACAAACTTTTCTCAGGTGGCTTTTCACTATTTGCCTCTGCATACTTGTCTAGGTGGTCAAGGTATGAGACGCCCATCTCGAACGTGCCAATTGATGGCTCGTCAAGAGGAACACTCTGCCGGCATTCCACATTCACCACCAGTACTGGCTCATTGTCTGTGAATAATTTATCATTGTTGGCGACGTCTCCACCGGCAACGCAGCAGCCAGGCAGCGTTGACTCGATAACACCCTTGCAGCCATAGGGGTTGCGAAGGAGATGCAGGCGCAGCTCCTTGAACTCTCGTCCACAGTGAGGGCACCTCTGGGTGGACATATTGATGACCAGTCGCGGCAGGTGAGAATGCTCAGTGAAAGTCTGGCAGTTGACCAGGGCCTCTCCCTATGTGATAACCAGTGAAGTAATTGCGACACCTGTGTCACTATCTAATTATAGGAAATTACACTAAATAGATTTGCTGTAACGTCCTCCAGGAATGCGCAGAATGTCTCGCCGAGGCCTGGGCACTGCTTCACTAGCTGTGGCTGCACTACATAAACAAGTTCCGCTGCCAGCTCAGCATCAAAAGCCCTATGGCAGTCCGGAGACGTGTAACTCGTCAGGCTCGGTAGCTACGGGGCAGTTGTCTGGACAGGTTACTCGCCAGCTAGAAGCTTGATAAATGTGCAACCTTGAAAGTGCCATAATTAGGCACAGATATGCGCGCTGAGTGTGTGAAATGTTATGACGAGGTTAGTTAACATGTTTGCCATCAAATATGAGTGTAGGGAGGCATTATTTGTCCTTATGATTTGCTCTCTACCTACGGCCATTTGGCAGTCCAGAGACGTGTAGCGCCCAAGGCTCAGCAGCTACGGGACAGTGGTCTGGACGAGGTTATTTTTGACGTGCAGCCCCGAAAGCACATTGGGAAGCATGAATATAACTGGTGAATGCATCATCAGTGAGGTTTAGGTTAGTTTAGGTGTTTGCCACCTGTATTGGTGCTCCGATGTAACATGACCATTGGTAGTCATGGTCATGG